ACATTGACTCTGAGTCTGACACCACACCATAGTGTTTTATTTCAAATAATGGTGGAAAATAAGATCTTTGCTGGGCTATGTTATACTCAATAGTATAATTAAATTGTTTTACTTACTCGTTAACTGCTATCTGATGAATTGAAAGATTCCCGCAATGTCCGATTATAGCAGTAGAAGCATGGCACGGATTAGAATAGTTAGATCCAAATAGACTAGATAAACTAATAATCATCATTATGCCAATGAAAAGGCATGGATGCCACTACTGAGATATTCACTGATAGTTTCTCAATCGTTTGTAATAGTTTTCAAAGATGATATTTAAAAATCAAAATTTAACCCAAGGCTTAACGTTACAAGAGTACAGACGTCATGGCTAATATGGGCATATCTCCGGGTTTCCTTAAACTTGTATGCACAACTCATATGCCGTAACACAGAACTACTTCTTTTTTAAGTCAAATCACTGTCCTTATACATGTAACTTATAGTCATTTCCATCAGTTATCTATTCAAGTTAAGTTGTAGAATATGTAGGTCTGTGGATTAGTAACTGTATAATTCATTAACGGGTTGCCATCCAAGATTTGTAAGCCTTTTAAAGCTTTAAAAAACAATGTACTTATATGTTATGCAACGTTACACATTAAGTTTGTTAAAAAACAGTTCTTTACAACATTTGAGCATTCAGAATGTCTGCGTATTAATAAAAGTATAAATAATAAAACTACTTTTAATCTTCTGTATTTTCCTTTACAATTATATTATGATACTGTACAGTAACAGTAATATGAAACAGGGCCAACGTAGGCCAAAGATGAAATAACCAATTTCAAAAAAAAATGCAAAAACGCTAAAAGTGACATCTAGTGTCCCTTTTCTCTGAGCGCATACAGTATCATGATATTCAGATTTGCTTTAATTTCTGTTTACACTGTCATATACACCTTAGCTTAATCTGATATGCATAATTGTAGTCTATGAATAAGCTAAATTGTGTCAGAAAATATTTAATTTTCAATGCAAAATTCAATAGAAGTGGATGAGCTCTCCTGTCGACCCTGCAAACGGACGAAATCAGCGTTTGTCAAGAAGTCTGTCAGCTCCTCCTCTGTAGGGTTGTAGTCCTCTTGGCTGGCGGACGATGACCTCCCCTTTCCGGCACGCTGGAGTAACCCTCCTACCCAGGAGTGCAGCCTCTCCAACATCAGGTCTGCAACCTGCTCAGTCTCGGGCTTCTGTTGGGAATTCTGTTCCGCAACCTGATAGTACAATCAACATAATACTAGTATCATAATATGATGAAGCTATATTGAGCTAAAGCCAACATGCACAGGATTTTTAAAAGAAATTCAGCTGTATAATTCCTTTACCAAACAAAACACTTGACTTTCATGATTTGACCATATAGAACAATTTTCCAATACAACAGACGAGATGCATGTATATAATTTGCCTTCGTAGACTAAGTTAGACTAAGTTTGACCATACATGCAGCTCTAGGGTTAATACAAAAATCAGTATGAATGGGGAAAGGGAAAGAAATAAAATAAAAGCATGCGAAGAGAAGCTCAAATCACATATTTTAGTAGTATTTATTATTATCTCTATTCGTGTGTCACTGATATATTGGTACTTGGAACTTGCATCGCGGTTTTGCTATATTTTTGATTAGAAAAAAAAAAGCATACGAAAGACCAAAGGCTACATATTCATAGTAAAGAGTACCGTAATGGAGCAAAACTAAGTGAAGAAATTAAGTGCCAGGATTTACTAACCTGATTGGTTTTGCGCCAATATAACATACAGAAATATACAAAACCTTGTGGCAAGCCCCCCTAATTCGTACATGTATGTATAAAGTGTTCTTATGTGTGACAGATTACAAAGAATGTTCGTCTCAGGCCTTATATACATGTGCACTTTGGAAAATAATGCATGACAGAAACAAGGTTTGTTGTTCAACGATACACTCTTGAAAAATACTGACCTCATGTATGGCGCCGTCTAGGATAGCAACCACCATGATGAGGATGACCCACTGGAAGAACGTGATGAACGTGAAGGTGAAGAGCGGTCCCATGACCGTCTTGGCGTCTGACAGCTCATAGAACTTCCCCAGTAAAATAGTGAACATCGATTCCACGGTGGCGACGAAGGGCGAAAAGCCCTCCTCCGTAGGACAGAAAACGAGGAAGGCAAACGTCGCAAAAGCGACGAACACTATGGTAAAAATCAAGAAGAACCCGGATAGTGCCCCGGCTGCCTTCTTTATGGTATCTGGAAAAGAACATGTAGCAGGGAGTCAGATCTGTTTATTAGAAACCTTCTCTCCAATCTACCAAACAAGGTAGACTGTTTTAACCCTCAACAGTACACCTTCTCGGACTGATTAATCTGTACACCTGGGGTCCGGGCGGACCCCAGAACAGTTTTTTGCTAATTTTTAGAAATTATCAACATGCTACCAGCTCAATTGTTTTGCAAACTGATGTGGGAACCTCTGTGTCCACATTACATACAAAAATCATACATTTTGAACTTTTTATATTTTTTGGTGAAGAAAAGAAGACCGAACCTAGAATACGCTGCGACAGTATGGGATCCATATACAAAGAAAGACAAAGATAAATTGGAAAGGGTACAGAATCAAGCTGCAAGATTCTGTATGAACAACTATGTAAGAGGTGCTAGTGTCACGGAAATGAAAAGAAACCTACAGTGGACCTCACTTGAAGACAGAAGAAAGATGTCTAGACTATGCATGATGTACAAAATGACTAATAAACTGGTGGATGTCCCAACTACTAAGTACCTAATACCAGCTCAGAAGAGAACAAGAAATAGCCACGCATTCAAGTACCAGAGTTATCAACCAAGGATTGAGGTGTTCAAGAATTCATTCTTTCCTAGAACTATCGCAGAGTGGAACTCACTGTCACCAAGTACAGTAGGGCATTGTCAATAGATAGCTTAAACAATGTCTAGTAGCTAGAAGTTCAAGGGTTAGGTGTAACAAGTTCGATCGGTGTAATATAG